TATGAAAAATCCTCTTACACAAACTAGCCTTCAGTGTACTCCAGAGAATTAGCTTAAAGTGTCATATAATAACAACAATAAATAACCATCATTATTGTATAGAACTTTTTAAAACACACCTCTAAAACTCTTAACACATCACAGAGAGGTCTACATATCACATCACACAGTATAGAAATATATGTATTCAACCATAAACTGTTACAGATCCTTCTTACAAACATATTAACATTAAAGCAGTGGTGTGAATCATAGTCAAAAGTCAATAGGAAATGGATAAATGGATGGAGATAGAAGGAAATGAAATTACATCTAATTATTACTGGTACATAGTACAGTACAGGACTGCTGCATATTCTTCCCACTGAATGTGTCCAGTTACCCTTAATTAACATACAATGAAAGCTGAGTTAGTCTGAGGATTGACCCTTGTGGGATCCCATAGGAGTGGAGTAAGCCCTGTAGTTATGTATATGAATTGTTTGTGAGATAAGAATGATGAAAACTATGTGAGAACATCGCTATAACTATAATCTCAGTTCACTATTCTGTTTGTTAGAATGGCATTAATCACCTTACCATTACTCAAGAATATTATTTTGGAGTTTCAGCAGGCACAGTGATTTACACGCTGGTGACTCCCTGCAAAAAACCTGTTCCTGGTATCAATGCCTGTCAGCGGGGGGCTGTATTCCAGTTTTCTCCTATAATCCAAGGGCCCTAAATTTAATTGACCATAGTGTGAATATGAGAGTGTGGTTCTGTCTCTCAGTGATGGACTAGTGGCAGGTCAAGAGGTACCCATGACAGGTGGGATGGGTTCGTGACACCACAGGTTCCTAAGTTGGAGGAGAGGTTAAGAGGATGGATGGATAGATGGTGTTTTAGTGCTGTGACTCTGAGAGAAACTAGATTAGAACTGATGCAAGGTGCAGGGTTCCTTAACCAGTTGAAGAAGCAGGTTTTTGGAAAACTTCAGTAACGACTTGTATTTTAGAAATGGGCCTGTAATTATATAACAGTGGAAGACACAGGCTGCCTTCAAGTGTTCAGGTATCCAAAGCAAAAGCTGATAACATGAAGGAAAGGGGAGATGACCAGAAAGGTATCTTTGAGAGATTTACCAGGAATAATATCAGCAGAAGGCTATGCATATGAAAAATGGTATTCACCAAATGGAAACTGTACATTCAGGCAACAGTT